CAGCCAGCGCTGCAGTGAGGGCTGCCTCCCCCACAGTCTGTGGTGTTGCCCTGTTTTTCTTTTCCGCATTTTTTTTTTCCCCCTTCGGAGGGGTCCTCTTCCCCTTCCCTCCCCGCCCCTGCTGGAAGCAACTTGGTTTCTGCATTAAGCGCCAGGGAGACCCCAGTTTTGACAGGGAATAAACTCATGGCCATCGCTTCAGACAGCAGCTGAAGTAGGCCGGGCAGGCGTGTGTGGCGTTCGGGGTGTCCTCACCTCGGGAGCCCCCTGTGCCCTTGCTTCCTTGCCCGCCTGCTTGAACCCCGGTGGTGACGGGGAGCCGGTGGCTGCCCTGCTCACTGCAGCAGCAGGACAGGCCAGTGCCGCAAGGCGGGAGGTTGCGCGGCCCTGATGAGCTGCATCCCGGGCCGTGAGGGCTGTCGCTGGCAGAGCTTGGGGCTGTCAACGTCCCTTGATCTGGGAAAACATCTTTCTCGAGCGCGAGGACCTTGCTAGACAGGATAGGACACGCTGTCTAACACCTTCCTTTACGTTTCTAGGGCCTCACCTTTATTGTTATCTCTCTCTAGAACGCCAGCCATAATTTTAGATTTATAAGAATAGAATTATCATTGTTATCATCCCTACAGTTAGAAGGATAGCTTCAAGTTAACAAGATGCAATGTGGGCAGGAGGCTGTACAAGTAAACTTGGAATAACTTCCTTTTTTTTTTTTTTTTTTTGTCGGACACTGTCGGACAGTGTCAGTTGAAGAATGCTAGCAAACATCACACTAAAGCACAAAAGTACTTTAAGTAAAAGTACAACCAGTTTTTGAGTATTTTTTGAGAGTTGGTTGACAGTTTTACTGTTTTTTAGCACTATTGGATAGTGAAACAGCAGGGTTCTTTCAAATATCACTATTTTGTTAGTATTGTGACATGGAAATGTTAAAATAGTAATTAGAGAAAAAAAAAAAACCTTTCAGGTGAAAACCATTTAGAAAAAAGGGAACTTTGATGTTTTTCTCTCTTTCCAAGCAATTATTTAGTTGTCAGCATTTGTCAATGACCTAGTTTATCCTCGTATACCTAATCAGTTTGTGTCAGAACTTCCATAGCATTTTCAGGGTAAAGTTTTTCTTGCTATTTTAAATGGGATCTTATATATCACTTTACGAGTAGGATCTTCTTAACTGATGTAACATTTACTTTGTGGTGTGCACATGCGCTTGCGTGCACATCCATTTACATATTTGCAAGTGATGTCTTAGAGTGTTAAATGGGTTTCATCTTACAGATTTCACAAAGTTTGCTGTTGCTGAATTTTTGTAACTTTCGCATTCCTACTTTTTTCTCTGTGAACTGAATTAGTTTTTGCGAAGGACTGGGTTAGGTTTCTCTTAAAAATATATATATATATTTTTCTTGATTGTGGCATATGTATTATCATATGGAAGACAGATAGTAAGTGCACTACATGTTGTGCAAATTGTACCATTCTTCATTGATTTCAATTGCTGGCCCACTAGGAAACCTCCTTCCTTCAAGTCTATGTACTTATTAATCTTGATTTATAGTGTAGCTCAAATGGTAGTAATGGTAGCAAAATGGATTGTCCTTTACCCTGGAAACCTAAGCTTCCTAAAATGATACAGCTATATCTGTAAGTGAATTGAGTTATCCAGATGTTAAAATATTTCTATTTTTTATTAAAAAGGTTCCTATTTATGGATGGATAAGTGATACATTATAGCCGTTACAGTTAAAATCTCAGCTATAGAATTTAGTTTAGAGGATAAAATGCATTTCCATGTTGTCTTATCCTTCAAATTATAGGTTTGGTTATGTTTGTGAGTTGTAGTAAGTTCTCAGAAGTTGCAGGTTCTAAGATGCCCCTAAATCTATTTAATAATGTTGTTATGTACCTGAAGTAGAGAAATGTATTGTAGCTTTCTAATAGCATAGAAATTTATTTTAAAATGTAGTAGTTATCTAAAGTCTGGAACTGGAAATCTAAGTATTTAAGGCTCAGTCTGTGATGGTAGTTGTTGTGGGATCTACCTGGATGTTTGATAAGGAGATGATAGTTCAAAGAGACAGGAGCTGGATGTAAAGAAAAAGAATTGCACTGTTGATGAGTGTGGGATTGACAGAAGGACTGTGATCAGCAGGGGTAATGTAACATGAAAATGTGCAAGAACTGAGCAAGTAATTCTAATTTCCAGGGCATGTTGCATTTCTGTTCATTACTTAGTAATTTGCTGGATGAAAAAATCAGGAATAAAGCACTCTTAAAATTTCGGTTCCTTCTCTCTTGTGCTACTTGGTTAGAAGCGAAGAGGAGGGGTGGCATTTCCATAATTTCTCTATTTGTCACTAGTACAAGAGTGCCATTTTGCAACTAAAATTTCAGCTGCAGTGATATTTTAATAGAGTCTTCGTATATTGAGCTTGTTTGGTCTTCAAAGAATGAAAATAGGAGTGATGGCATGTTCAGATACAGTCTCTCAAGTTACATACATGTGTATGTTTCACTTTGTGAATATTCCTCAGTTTGTCTCTGGACAACGTGTCCACATTCTGATCCTGCAGCCTGTGTTACAGGCAGATTCTCTTACAAGTGAAATCTCACCATGCAGATCCGATCGCAGAAGTGAGACCCTTACGGGATATTTTGTACATATAGAAAGTGATAGGCTGCGTGGTCACAGCGTGCTGTTTTTCGTTTGCTTGAAACAGTTTTTCATGAAATGTCTTTTTTATTGATAAAGTATCTGTTTTTCTATTGCAAATTTGTGGGAATGGACCAGAATGTAAGAATAGAGCTGTTGGAGTGCTACCTGAAAGAGTGTTTGGTT